CACTCTTTCATAGAGCAAGATGCAAAAGGAATGCATCTTACTTTGTTTCCAAATCGCATAACGTCCCAAACAGAAACTTAATTAGTCCAATCTGTTTACTTAAGCGAAAGTGAAACTTCAAGGAAGAATGATATATTTTCAGCCATCCAACTTTGCTATCTAGAATTGTTACACTCTGAACTATTTACAACACTGCTGCTTTCTCTTTAATGGTACACTACTATTCAGGAAAGCAAAACACAGGAAGTTTGGCAAGATCAATTTGCTAGAAGCCTCTAAGTGCTTTTGCTTACAGTTCCATTACCTTCCAGACATGTACTGATTTCCATAAATTATTTATTCCATTATGTATTCCACCAAATAAGATGATGTACTCAAGTTCTCTTATAAAAGCTACTCATGCTTTTCTCCAGTCTTCAGACACTTCTCTGGCTCTAGTCAGTGTCACTACTACTGTAAATTAGTTTTCTAGTTCCTTTGATACAGTCTGGCGACAACTGTTTGGACTTGTTGATTTATTTTTAGGCAGAGTTTCCAAGCAGCATTTCATTGGTTCCATTGGAGTTCTTTTTATTTACATCCATTACATTCTTACCATTCAGCAGCACACAAAGACTATTTCTGCTAAACAGAGCTTGGATTTGAAGAAAGGCACTTAGTAGCTTTGTGATTGATAATTTTATCTTCTTCATCATCTCTTAATGGTCCCTACTTTCTCTAATGCATTTATGAAAAAGTTATTTCTATTGTAAAATGTAAACTCAGACTTTTTTTTGCCATTTCTTATATGCCATTCTCTTATTTGCTTCTTGCTGTGTGCCATTACAAACTAAATATATCTTGACTATCATGGATAAAAACAGCCCATCTCTTTTAAGAAGTAGTAAATTTTAAACATTTTTCTGCATTTTAGCACACTGCACTTCATTAATTTCCTGCAGGTCGCTCTTTATTGTGCCATTAGCTTCAACAGGAAAAATTCCACAGACCTGCTTTGAATGAGGGTTACACCAAAGCATGTCATGCTAAGACATTTTGGCAGCCAGCCCTCTTGCAAAGCAATTTCAGAGTTTAAAATCTTAGACTTTAAAGAAGCATATTTTTGCACATTTTCATTATTATTTTATCATCATCAGGGTCACTTGACGTGCACACTCAGACTGCTAGATGTGATTTTCCAGGGAATTATGCTTCCTCAATCAGAAAAAGCACATGGGCTAACTTCATCACTTAAGACTCCCACCTATAAACTTTGACCATCTTGTCGTTAGGATATGAAACAAAGATGCTCTATTTTGAATTAAATTATTTACAGAACAATGGTTATATTTACAAAACACAGGATTGGGGAATAAATAAATTATGCAGCTGTTCAGATTTACGTAGTTCTACTGAAAAATCCTAAAACATGAAAGATTTCAGACATTTGTGCATTTAAAGACAAAGGCTTTCAAATTATTACCTAATGATGCAACTGTAAACTGGAGACATTAAGTGTCACTATTTCTTTTGTCCTTAAATGTAGAATGTCGAACATAGTGATACTGAAGAAAATTACATGTCTTGGAATTAAGCTTAAGGTTTAAATCATGGTGGGGTAGCTTGAGTATGTATCAAGCAGTGGATCTGCCTTCTTTTTTTTACTACTACTTTTTTTTTTCCCCCACCAGAAATGTACCCACCATTTCTTATGCTACAATCTTTGGCATCTTCCATATAGCCCTTAGGGAGAGTCTGTATTCCTGGATGAGATGCATCTTACCATAGCTACATATTATATTATATATGTATATTCTATATTCATATATTCTATAATTCATATATTATATATATATGTATATTCTTCCCTCCCAAAATAAGAAAAAATTCTCAAATAAGGCAAGCCAAAAGAAGGGATGTGTGCATGTGTTTAAGAACACACAGGTTTTGTCTCTGCATTGCTTGCTGAATTTTCAGACTTCAGCTACTCAGTTAGCACATGTGGTTTACAAAGACATACATATGGAGGTGAGTGTCCAAGAATGCAGGTGATAATAGAACGGTAATCAACAAAGCTGACTTGTGAAGTAGTTCAGACTACATGTACATCACATGGAAACTGAACCATTTATGGTTTTTTATCAGTTACAGCAGAAGCAAGACTCCCTGATTTTTTTCACTCTCTTTCAGGTGGAGTTAGAAACCATAAATCACAGACAATTTCCCATCACCTCCTGTCCCATCACATTGTCACATAGACAGAGCACTGTCTAGATTACTTTACAGGCACTGCAGACACCCAGGCTTTCAATCAACAGTCATTTACTTCTGCTGGCATTTCACAATTACATACCCCTTCCATTAAAGTTTATTAATTTTCTTAATCAAAAGCTACTTTTAATTCAACTGTTTTAGTTATTGTTTCCCATCCTTTCCCAATGCAAAAATAATAAAAAATATAAAAATCGCAAAAAACAATTAAAAATACTAGTTCTCATCATCCCCATGCTTGTCCACTTGCATATGTAAAAATTCATTGCTCTACGTGAACTTTACCCATCTTGGATGCTAACCATTCTTTTAATTAGTATATCATTTTTCTGTATTATAGTTATCAAGTCCTAACAAGACACAGTAATATTCTCTACTGTTTCAATGGACTGGTAAGTGGAAGCAGCCAAAGATCAAAGATCAAGTTCTCCTGGAGCAACAAGTATTCACTCTTATTAGCCTGTTTCCTCACCACT